CCACTTATAAGAGCGTCAGGTGAAACTGCTATTTACAGTAGTTTAGTGGCTCGATTCAGCAAAGTTCCGTACTTATGGATAACCTGAACATTTCTGAATTAAGTCATTTTAAACAATTAGTGGTTTGTTAAGTACAAAAGCAAAGAACCGACATATTAAATTATTATCTTGAAATACTTTGTTAGTATTGATTTCAAAATGTAGGGGAAAAAATAAATTTTTTACAAAAAGTTAAAATGTTGGATAGTTATTTCCAATTATTATTATGGTGTTATGTGTCCAGTCAGCTTTCTTATTTTTGTTGGATTTTGGCTCCCCCTAGTGGAGAAAAGCTGTATTGTTTTGCCAGAAGGAAGACAGCATTTCCCATATAGCGGTAACATCCTGATCTCTGGTCGCCTGCAGTTGGATTGAACTACGTTTCTTTTTCCAGCTCCACGTTTGACTTTGGTTTCGTAGCGTATTCCTGCAAGAGTCCCCAAACATCTCCTTGCAACAGATAAATATGATAATAATCTCACATTAATGCATATAGATCCCAGCAGGAAGGATGTAGGAATAGATTTCAGGGAAATGTTGTCTTTATAAGAATCAGGCAATGACAGAGGTGTAGGTCAACGTAGAATCACAGAAGCTATGTTTTTCTAAATGTTTTATGAAGGTTAAAAGGTTACCTGGTGTTGTCTTAAAGAGGAACTGAGTGGTGATGAAGATGATGATGATGTGGTTATCTCCAGCCTCTCAGTATCTCAGACCTGAACACCTGGGTCTGGTTATTTCTGATGACGTTGTCCTCCTCTCCCTCCCTCAGCTGAGCTCTCTGGAGGTGCCGCCGTCCTGGAGGAAGGTGGATGTTCTGAGGGAGGCCAGGGCAGCACAGCTCCACTTCTTTGACAGCCCAACTCAGCGGCAGCTCATGGATGAGGTGTTTTTCCTGAAGAGGCTGCAGACCATCAGAGACTTCTTCCTCCTCTGCTCATCGTTTGCTCAAACTCTGTCCGGTGAGCGTCGCTCTCGGCATGGCGCCCTGCAGAAACCTTCTAAAAAACTCCAGGGTTTGGTTTCAGATCCTGGTTGTTTTATGGACTCGATGTTTCCTTCATCAGGTACCTGCCCTCCAGCTGAAGACCTGATCTCTACCAATGGACCCGTAGCTTTGGGGAAGCCTCTGTACCGGCGGCCCAGCAGCACGGGGTCAGGCGTGGTCAGCGAGGAGCAGATGACTCGGCCCATCAAGGCCTTCACGGCGGAGTTTGTCCGCCAGATGCTGATGGGCCTGCCCAGCCAGGCCATGGGTCTGGCCCTCTGCAGCACCCTGTCAGCTCTGGGTCTGGATGTCGTAGCTCAGGTGGAGGCCAAGGACTTTGGGGCAGAAATCAAGGTAGAGTGGCCATTTCTGAGTCTCAGCAGGAGATGGAATAGGACCTTCTCTTTCTGTTGGGTCTCTGATTTCATTAGGATTTTAGATTCCAGGTCCCCCCCCCAAAAAAAAAAAACGCATAAAAACAAGATGACTGAAAAATATTAGATAGTTCTACTGTGGACACAATGAAGGGTGAAGGAGCAGCAGCTGGGAAACCAGAGCTATAAGCCCCATTTACACTAGTCCTC